CTGAAACAGAGTAGAGTGTCTTTAGTTTACTCTTCTCATTTACTCTTTTATTTACATAAAACATCTCTTTTATCTCGCTGTGGAACTTCCTTTGGCAGATATTATCACAGAGAAATACAAAGACAAAGGTTTGAATCCCCAGGCCGTCATCTGGCTCCTAAAAACAACAGGTAAAAGGAAAGAACATGTCTTTATCTTTATCTTGATGGTTTTTTGTGCAGGTTTTATGCCTCTGGTGAGTCCTGGGTTGGCACTGCTTGAAACACACACAGATGGATGTAGCTGCAAGTGTCTTTTACAGAGTTTAGGAACATTATTACTCCTTTTATGTGGTTCCAGATCATGGTTATCAAATAATTAATAATGAATCAAAAGGAGAATTCCATCTATCTGCTGTGACCTGCCCCCTGGACAGCGAACACTCTCCAAAACTACCAAGTCGAAAAAGAGCTGCTTCACATCAGCTGCAATAAAGCTGCAGGACCCGATGGAGTGACAGGTAGGGTACTGAAGGCATGTGCTGATCACCTTGCCCCAGAATTCGCAAACATCTTCAACCTGTCACTACAGAAGGCTACTGCTCCCAGCTCTTTTAAATCACCCACCGTTATACCAGAACCCAAAACCTCAACTGTCACCTGCATGAATGATTACACGACAACTGCTCCCACTCCGCTTATGACGAATGCTTTAAGAGGCCAGTTCTATCTCAAATAAAATCATGCATTTCCCCAACTTTGAAAGGCATCAATATGCATACAGAACCAACAGATCCACAGAAGATGCACGCTGCTCTGACGCTGCTCTGAGGCACCTGAAAACTCCCAGCAGGAGAGGACACAAGAGAGGAGACAAGGAGAGGTGACAGGAGAGGAGACAAGAGAGGAGACAAGGAGAGGTGACAGGAGAGGAGACAAGGAGTGGACACAGAAGAGGAGACAAGGAGAGGAGACAGGAGAGGACACAGGAGAGGGGGTAGGAGTGGACACAAAAGAGGACACAAGGGAGGAGACAAGGACAGGAGAAGAGACAAGGAGAGGAGATAGGAGAGGACATAGAAAAGGTCACAAGAGAGGAGACACGAGAGGAGACAAGGAGAGGAGACAAGGAGAGGAGTCAAGGAGAGGACACACGAGAGGAGGCACGAGAGGAGACAGGAGAAGAGACAAGAGTGGAGACAGGAGAGGACACAGGAGACGACACAAGGAGAGGGACAGGAGAGAGGAGAGAGGAGACAAGGAGAGGACACAGGAGAGGACACAGGAGAGGACACAAGGACAAGGACAGGAGAGAGGAGACAAGAGACAGGAGAGAGGAGACAGAAAAGTAGATAGGAGGGGAGACAAGGAGAGAGGAGACAAGGAAAGAGGAGACATGTGAGGAGACAGGAGATGAGACAGGGGAAAGAGGAGACAGGAAAGGAAATAAGGAGAGAGGTCACAGGAAAGAAGATGAGGAACAAGGACACAGGAAAGGTGACAGGGAAATAGGACGGAGGAGAGGACACGAGGAGGAAGGAGAAAATGGCTGGAGGCGAGAACATTTAAGAACAGAGTGATAAAAATAGGGTGTGAGTCCAGGGTCACGGTGGAGGTGACGCAGAATCATCCACAAAACCAAACGCTGCTGAGGCTGAATTAAGGCTCCAGATTTAATGTCTGTCTGCTCCAGGGGCCTGAGAACGATAAAGACTTACACTGTGGAAGCCTCAAAACACAACACTGTGCTCTTTTCATTCCACAGTCTGTAGCAGTGTTGGAGTAATGTGTTATAAAAGTAACTTATTACTGTGATCCATTGTTTTTTGCTGTAACACAGTAATGTGACATTACAGGGAAAAAATTGTCATATTTTACTCACGCGTTACAATGCTTTTTTAACCTGGATTGAAGTGGTGGGTTTTTCTTCATACAAATTCACTAAAATCACCGCGATATCAGCAGCGGTAAAACGCCGGAGACGCGCCCGTGTAGACCGTCGGGTGACCGCGAGTGAAAGGACCGACGCAGAACTCCACGCTCCACAGGGCGAAGAGCAGCTGATGCCCGATCGCGCCTTGCAGTTCTCTCAGGGGTGGTCCTAGATTCCAAGTTCTAGTCCAAGATTAGTCCTGATTTAGTCCTTGTTTAGACCTGGTTTAGTCCTGGTTCAGTTCTAGTTTAGTCCTGGTTCAGTCCATATACGGTGCAAAAGTTCAGCATCTTCACAGTTATTTTGGTGAGAGTAACAGTTTTGAAGTCACTTGCCCAACAGTGGTCTGTAGTAAGATATTGGCTCAGTCCATATGAAATCAGTCGCCCTCCCCTATGAGCCATCTCAGATTTAGCTGAAATAATTTCTAAAAAATTCTAAAATTACCAAATGAAAGAATCTAAAATTTTAGCTCAATCCCTTGAGTCGTTCCTGAGTTATGGCACCACTGAAATTTTGGGGCCATGCTCACTTTTTTGGAAGCCTTAATTTATAATCATGTTTGAGAGACCAGAACTTCATAAAGAATAAAGATGAAAATTTCTATTATTTTTGATTTTAGGTCATAGATTCTAAATCTCAAATTTTGAGTATCTTTATTATTCTTTGGAGCCTCGGTTCCCCATATGGGCAAAATCTAGTCAAAACCAGGTCAAATCTGGTCTGGTGATAATTAACAAATGAATATACTGTATTTGTTAATTCATCTCATTTTCTATTGTTTCATGTTTTAGTATTTTTGAGTATTTTATTGTTTATTTTCAACACACTGTTTAGTTTCTGTTCAGGGCCTGTCTAAGCGAGAACGCTTGCAGGTAAAAACAACAAAATATTTTATCATCATATTTTTGGGGTTTAAAAACGTAAAAATGTGAAACCACCCTCCAGAGTGGAAAAGTTGAATACGCTCTGCCGTAGCGTTTCCATCTGCACTGCCCAAGATGCAAAACTCTGGTCAGATCTGCTCACGTCGTGTACGTGTTTAGGCCACATACATGACCACCGAGCCGCCTGGCATGCACACCCATTTCAATTCCACACACTTTTGCGTCACAGTATGCACTCAGATTTCCTGCAAGTTAAAAAACATTTTTATCTGGTCAAAAATGTATTTTTTTTTGTTGAAGTCTGCCTCCTACTTCGACCACGTCAGGCCCGCTTCTCCACACCTCCTCAAAAACAGACCTGGCGTTGTGTTTTGTTTCATTTATACACGTTTGTCCTTCATTATCAGTCTGTCTACATCTCCAAAGCTCAAAATGTTCTGTTCCACTTTGTGATGTCATGTAGTGGTAGTTTTTAAATAAACAGCTGTGTTTTACATCTAGAGATCGTAAATTCCATCTAGATGTGAAAGCTCAAAAGGCTCTGTTCCACCTTGTGATGTCAGCAGCTCATTTTCCCTTTAAATTAGGAGAGATTTTCAATTCCAGGGTTCAAATCATCCAAATGATTCCAGTGAAGGTGTATCACTTTTAAAAACACAGTGGAGCACTTCCTGTATCACCGCATGACATCACAAGGTGTTCACAAACAACTCCAGGTCTGTTTGTGATGAGGAAAGTAAATAACAACATGGATCAGAAAACCTAAATTCTCTCAAATCAATCTGACAGAGCTCTTCTCTCAAACGGTAAACACTCTGTTCCACTTTGTGATGTCATGTAGTAGTACAGGAAGTGCTCCACTGTGTTTTTAAACTCCATACACCTTCACTAGAATCATTTGGATGATTTGAACCCTGGAATTGCAAGTCTCTCCTGATTTAAAGGTCAAACAAGGTATAACTGCGCATTTTGAGCTTTGGAGATGTAGACATAAAACAACCAATAATCCAAAATTACTCAAACATGTGTGAATGAAACAAAACTCAGGGAGGTAACAACATTATAACATGGCTTAAAGCTCACAAGAATCAATTTTATGTCATTAAATAAGTCAGATTTATAACTTAATGCAATACTAAATGACTGGAGTGATGTTGTCGTGTTATTTTGAAATAACTTACAATATTCTTACAGGAATAATCTTGCTAAATAACTCTTCCTTCAATGAATTCTAGGTTTACATTATGAAAACATTTGACAGTTTGTTTCATTGTAAAATTTACCAAGACTACTTCCAATTTGCCAATCATTACAACACCATGTCCAACCACAGGGGGGAGCTGTAGGAACACATATAGGTTTGGACTTAGTGTAGCTTTACCTCATTTTAATTTAGCCCATTAAGTTATAAATTACAACAAATGATACATGATAAGGAGTGACTGTGTGTGATAAGATTACACTGGTTCCTTATTCAAACAGAGCCCGCCCAGGTTTACAGACGCACAAATGACACATATTTCCAAATCAAAGTCATAAACAAGACCACATGGAAATATGGAACTCAGTGGAAAGTTGTGAGCACTGATAATATAAATAAAAATATATGAGCGTTACTATATTATTTTATGTATTATGAACTGTTAAAAAGGAGGTATTTTACTTCTATTTGGTATTTTTTGGACTATAAATTGCACTTTTTTTCATGGTTTGGGTGTTTTTGTGACTTATACTCTGGTGCGATTTATATATTAAAATGTTCACAGTGAAGCAGTGAGAGGTTCTAGTCTTGTGTGTCAGTATCAGTCTGTTCCTCCTGTACCACTGTCACTTCACTCTACTGCGCATGTCTCCTGCAGAAAGAGCCTCTGTCCTGTCTGGATCATGTCAGTCGATCACACATTACATTTAACATAAAAAAAACAAAAACATATAAAGACGACTGAGAAGACTGAACACGAATGCCCCCAAAAAGAAAATCATTCATCAATCACATTAGTTACTAGAGACGGTGCGTTGGAGGAGAGGAAGCAGCCCATGAACATAGAGAAAAATCCCGCACACCGTCTTACTTGCAAATTGTGAGATTTATTAGGACAAACTGTGCAACGTTTTGGCACTGGGCCTTCGTCAGGCAAACAGAATGAGAGCTCAGGTGACCATCTTAAATAGGGTGTGGCAAACACCCAAGGGTGACAGGTC